GCCTCCAGTCTTAGTCAGACCATTAAGTCTGGTCTTCTTACTAGAATTTGAGTTCTGCATCCCATTGTTTTACTGCTCCATCAGGGACCCGGTATGATGCTGAATTCTATTGGCTAGAAACTTTTGAGAATTTTTGCATCTATATTCGTGACAGATATTGGTCTGTAATTTTCTTTTTTGTGGTGTTTTTGCTTGGTTTTGGTATCAGGGTTATGTTGGTTTCATTGAATGAATGTGGACGTATTCCTTCCTTTTCTATGTTCTGAAATAATTTGAGTAGTACTGGTGAAAGCTCTTCTCTGAATGTTTGGTAGAATTCTCCAGTGAAGCCATCTGGGCCAGGGCTTTTTTTTTTGTTGGGAGTTTTTTAAATTAACTTTTTAATCTCTTCTCTTGTTATGGGTCTGTTCAGATTTTCAACATCAGTTTGTGATAGTTTGGGTAGGTAATGTGTTTCTAGAAATTTGTCCCTTTCCTCTAGATTTTCAAATTTATTGGAGTATAGTTTTTCATAATATTCTTTTATGATCCTTTTTATTTCAGTTGGGTCTGCTGTAATGTCCCCCATTTACTTTCTTATTTGGGTTATTTGTGTCCTCTCCTGTTTTTCTTTTGTCAGTGTGGCTAGTGGTTTGTCAATCCTTTCAAAGAACCAAGTTTTGGTTTTGTTGATTCTTTCTATTGTTTTTCTATTCTCTATTTCATTTATTTCTGCTCTGATCTTTATTATTTCCTTTCTTCTGGTGGCTGTAGGCTTCTTTTGCTTTTCTCTTTCTATTTGTTCAAGTTGTGTAGCTAATGTTTTTATTTTGTCCCTTTCCTCTTTTTTGATGTGTGCATCTATTGCTATAAATTGACCTCTGATCACTGCCTTTGCTGTGTCGCAAAGGTTTTGGTATATGTTTTCATTCTCATTTGACTCTAGGAATTTCTTGAGTCCATCTTTGACTTCTTCTAGTACTCAGTGGTTTTTAAGCAGGGTGTTATTTATTTTCCATGTAATTGTTTTTTTTTTTCCTTGCTCTTCTTGTTGTTAATTTCTACTTTGATGGTGTTGTGATCAGAGAAGATACTTCGTATTATCTCAGTGTTTTGGATTTTGTTGAGGGTTGCTTTGTGATCTAATATGTGGCCTATTCTGGAGCACGTTCCACGTGCATTGGAAAAGAATGTGTACTTTGCAGCTGTTGGGTGGAGTGTTCTATATATGTCTATGAGTTCAAGTTGGTTGATTGTGGCCTTTAGATCTTTTGTATCTTTGTTGAGTTTCTTTCCAGATGTTCTGTCCTTTACTGAGAATGGTGTGTTGAAATCTCCTACTATTATAGTGGAACTGTCAGTTTCTCTTTTCAGTGTTGTTAAAGTTTGTTTTATGTATTTTGGAGCCCTGTCATTGGGTGCGTAGATATTTATTATGGTTATATCTTCATGCTGGATCATCCCTTTAATCATGATATAGTGCCCTTCTTTGTCTTTTATGGTGGATTTTGTCTTAAAGCTTATTTTATCTGAGATTAGCATTGCCACTCCTGCTGTGTTTTGGTGGCTATTAGCTTGATATATTTTTTTCTATCTTTGGATTTGTAATAAATTTATGTCTTTGTTCCTAAGGTACACAGCATATTGTAGACAGTGTATTGATGGATCCTATACTTTAATCCATTCTGTCACTCTCTCTTTATGGGTGCATTTAGGCCATTTCCATTCAGTGTAATTATTGATAGGTGTAAGTTTATTGTTGTCATTTTGTACTGCTTTTTTTTGGTGGTGCTGATGATTTCTTTGTTCCTTTTATTCTCCTGTGCTGAATTCCTTTTGTTTGGATTTTTTTCATTTCTTTTGTTTTTGTAGATTTTGTTTTTACTGAGACTTTGCTTTTCTTCTTTATTTTGATGAGTAGGTTTGTTAACTTTCCTTGTGGTTACCTTTAAAATTTACCTTTATCTTCCTAAGTTTGAACCAGTCTATTATTACTTGGTATTGTCTTGTCTTCTTCTCCATTAGAAGTTTCTATACCTATACCGTTTATTCCCTATTTTATTGTTCTGACGTTGTTGTCATTTACAGATTAACTTCTCTGGTTCCCTGTTGTAAAACTTTTGGTTTTGAATAGACCTTGAAAGTTCATTTCCTAGGTTGATATCTGGCTGGTGTGATCTTGCATCTTAGATTCAGGCTGTCGTCTGATGTTGTTTGTTCTCAAACTGAAGTACTCCCTTTGATAATTCATGTAAGTTTGGTTTGGTTT